CCCCCCCCAGCCCCACGCCCTGGGTGAGCTGGCGGAGGTTGAACGGGGGTCCCGGGGGGGTATCCTGGAGGTGGTCCCGGGCTCCCTGACCCCCCCCGATGTGTCCCCCCCCAGCCCCACGCCCTGGGTGAGCTGGCGGAGGTTGAACGGGCCGCTCCCCCCGGACCGGGCCGCCTTCGACAACTTCAACAAGACGCTGCGGCTGCGGGACGTGGAGGAGGCGGACGATGGCGAGTACGAGTGCGCGGCCACCAACAGCCACGGCCGCGCCCGCCGCAGCTACATCGTCACCGTCGAGGGTGAGCCGGGGGCCGGGCCGGGCACTGGGAGGGACTGGGAGGGACTGGGAGGGGCTGGGAGGGGCTGGGAGGTGCTGGGCGGGGCGTTGGGGGCACTGGGAGGGGCTGGGAGGTGCTGAGAGGGGGGTGGGAGGTGCTGGGAGGTGCAGGGAGGGGTTGGAAGGATGGTGGGAGGTGCTGGGAGGGGCGTTGGGGACACTGGGAGGGGGGTGGGAGGGGGGTTGGGGACACTGGGAGGGGCGGTGGAGGCACTGGGTGGGGCTGGGAGGAACATTGGGGACACTGGGAGGGGCGTTGGGGACACTGGGAGGAACGTTGGGGACACTGGGAGGGCGGTGGGAGGTGCTGGGAGGGGCGTTGGGGACACTGGGAGGGGTTGGAAGGGCGGTGGGAGGGACTGGGAGGGGTTGGGAGGGGCGTTGGGAGCCCTGGGAGGGGCGTTGGGGACACTGGGAGGGGCGTTGGGGACACTGGGAGATAGTGGGAGGGGGGTGGGAGGTACTGGGAGGGGTGGGGTGGGCAGTGGGCGATACTGGGAGGTGTGGGGGGCACTGGGGGACACTGAGATGGGCACTGGGGGGCACTGGGGCGGGTCTGGGGGCACTGGACGGCACTGGGACAGGCATGGGTGATACTGGGGGGCAATGGGGCAGGTCTGGGGGGCACTGGGGGTCCCTGGGGCAGGTGTGGGGGTCCCGGCCGGGGCTCCCTGACCCCCCCCAGTCCCCCCCAGCGGCCCCGTACTGGGTGAGACGCCCCCAGAGCGGGATCTTCGGGCCGGGGGAGACGGCGAAGCTCGACTGTGTGGTGGGGGGCAAACCCCGACCCCAAATCACCTGGAGCCTCAACGGGGTCCCCTTCGAGGGTAGGGGGGCTCGGGGGGGGGGCGCGGGGGGGCCCCTATGGGGTCGGGGGGGGCCCCGGGGGGCCCCTATTGGTGAGGGGGGGTCCCTCGGGGGGCAATTGGGGTCCCTTGGGGGGTGTTGGGGTCCCTTGCGGGGGTTTTTTGGGGGTCCCTGGAGGGCTTATGGGGGTCCCTGAGTGGCTTTTTGGGGTCCCTGGAGGGTTTTTTGGGGTCCCTTGAAGGGTGTTGGGGTTCCTCGGGGGTTATTGGGGTCCTTGGGAAGGTCCCTGGGTGGGGGGAAGGAAGGGGAAAGGGAGGGAGGTCCCTTGGGGTTTTTTTGGGGTCCCCGGAGCATTTTTTGGGGTCCCTGAAGAGGTGTTTTATTCCCCCCAGGGGGTATCTCATTGTCCCTGGGGGTGTTTTATTGCCCCCCAGGATGTTTTATCACCCCGGGGATGTTTTGTTGCCCCTGGGAGGGGTTTATTACCCCCTGGATGTTTTGTTGCCCCCCTCGATGTTTTGTTGCCCCCCTCGATGTTTTATCACCCCCCCTGGGTGTGTCTTTGCCCCCGAGGATCTTTTGTCACCCCTGGGGGTGTTTTATTCCCCCCGGGAGTATCTCATTGTCCCCAGGGGTGTGTCATTGCCCCCCTGGATGTTTTGTTACTCCAGGGGATGTTTTGTTACCCCCGAGAGTGTTTTATTCCCCCCGGGGGTCCCTCATTCCCCCCCCTCCGTGTCCCCCCCCTGCAGAATTCCCCCCCTCGGGTCGGTGGGAGCTGCGGGGGGGGGGCCCTGGTGCTGTCCCGGCTGGAGCCCAACGACTCCCTGGTGGCCCAGTGCGAGGCCTCCAACCGGCACGGGCGGCTGCTGGCCAACGCCTTCGTCCACGTCCTGGGTAAGGGGGGGGGACACACCCCCTGGGACCCCCCCACGGGGAACTGGGACTGCTCCTGACCCCCCCTGTAACTGGGACTCTCCCTTCCCAGTAACCCCAGTAATCCCAGTAACCCGATTCCTCCCTCCCAATAATCTTTATCTATGTCATGGGGGGGGACACCCAGTGGGACCCCCCCAGGGGAACTGGGACAGCCCCTGACACCCCCTGTAACCACAGTGCTCTCCCCCAGTAACCCCAGTAACGCCAGCCCTGCCCTCCCATTAACCCCAGTAACCTTCGTCCACATCCTGGGTGTGTGTGTGGGGGGGGACACCCCCTGGGACCCCCCCTGGGGAACTGGGACTGCCCCCAACCCCCCCTGTAACCCCCTCCTTAGCAACCACATCCCCTTGGCAACCGCATCCTCTTTAGCAACTGCATCCTCCTTGACAACTGCATTTCCATATCAACCACATCCCCTTGGCAACCCCATCACCCTGGCAACCACATTGCCCTTAGCAACCGCATCCTCTTTAGCAACCGCATCCCCCTTGACAACTGCATTTCTATATCAACCACATCCCCTTGGCAACTGCATCCTCCTTAGCAACCACATCCCCTTGGCAACCACATCCTTCTGGGACCCCCAGAGCCCCCTCAACCCTCCCCCTGATCCTTCTGGGATCCCCAGAGCCCTCCAGACCCCCCCAACCCACGCCAAGTCTCTCCCAGGACCCCCCAGTCCCCCTCAACCCACCTGCCTGATCCTTCTGGGACCCCCAAAGCTCCCCCAACCCCTCCTGTGATCCCCTAACCCAATCCCCTCCATCCTTCTGGGACCCCCCGAGCCCCCCC